CTACTCCCAATTTCTGAAGTCTCCTTAAACAGGTGGTTGAAGCAAACCCTTTCTGCCTCCAGAATAACCTCAACACTCACCCCTCCAAAGTCAAGGGAGGGACCCCCACCTCATACAGAGGCACACAGCCAGGTCAAAGCTGGCAAACGGATTTTACAGTAATGCCCTGTGGAGAAGGTAATGGCAACCCCACTCCAGTACTCTTGCCTGGAGAATCCCATAGATGGAGGAGCCTGGCGGGCTGCAGTCCATGGGGTCACTAAGAGTTGGACACGACTGAGCGACTTCACTTTCACTTTCCTGGGCACAAGGAAATTTTCAGATATTTGCTGGTTTTGACTGACACCTTTGGCTAGATTCCTGACCCAAACCAAGATTACCTCAGAGATTTCTAAGGCCCTGATCAAGGAAATAATCCCTCAATTTGGGATCCCTAAATCTATTCAATGTGACAGTGGGCCCGCCTTTGTTTCTCAAATTACTAAGGAAATCTCTAGAGCACTGGGAATTAAATGGAGGTGGCAACCCTCTTGGGCTTCCCACGTGGTACTAGTGGTGAAGAATCCATCTGCCAGTATAGGAGACAGCAGAGGCACAAGTTCGATCCCTGGGTCAGGAAGATCCCGTGGAGAAGGAAATGGCAACCCACTCCAGTATCCTTGCTTGGAGAATCCCATGGACAGAGGAGCCTGAAAGGCTGCAGTCTACGGGGTTGCGAAGAGTCAGACATGAGACCACAGTGCTCAGGAAAAGTAAAAAGAATAAATCAAACTCTCAAAAGAAATTAAGGCAAACTATGTCAAGAGATTTATCAAACTTGGATCTCTCTTCTCCCCACAGCACTTCTCAGAACGCAATTAGCCCCTAAAGGAAAGCTTGGCTTAAGTCTGTATGAGATCAGGTACAGGAGGCCCATTCTTGAAGGACCTGCCTACAAAGTCAACCTTAGGGACATGGATGACTGAAATATGCCTTACAGAGGGGAAAAAAAAAATCAAAGCTTTGCACGCCTTCCCCGTCTGACATGGTTTTACATCCTTTGTCCCCTGTTTATTTGAACACCTGGAAGGCTGCCCCAAGTGGGCAGGACTTTATCTTATAATCATGACCAATTCAGTGCCTGACAATTGCAGGGCATAACTCTGTGGGCCACCATCCCAGAGTGAAGTCAACACCTGTGCTCTGGAAGTGACTGAGCCACTTGCTCAATTACAGCTGTGTGAACCTGTCAGAGATCTTATGTTACTTTTCAAACGGACTAACCCTACCAATAAGTAAGTAACGTGACAGACAGGCTTAGCAGCTGGCCTTGTCATTGTCACTGTCTTATTTGGCTTCCATTGTTCTGCCAAACCTCCTCCTACTGGTAAACATTTCCTCTCTCCATGCTGGATATAGGGAATAACAATATTGGAGGCAGGATGAGTGGCCATTATTGTCTATTCTTTCTTATCTTCTCAGCTCTATCTCTTACAACCATCTGTGAAGAATGGGGATTCGGTGGTAAATTTCTTGAGAATTATAGCCTGCTGACAAAAGCTATCCCAGTGCTGAATCTGTCACCCCCACTCTCCAAGGGACACCTATGGATTAAAGGTATTACATTTTACCCCTAAGAATGACAACCTCACTCTCACCTTGGCTCATGGGTCTGTTAAACCTATCCCTCCCCCTGGAGAAGAAAATGGCAACCCACTCCAATATCCTTGCCCAAGAAATCCCGTGAACAGAGGAGCTGGGCTGGCTACATCCATGGCGTTGCAAAGAGCTGAACACAACTGAGTGAGGGACAGCATAGCAAACCTATTCCTCCTGAAGTTTATATCCCATCCCTAAAGCAGCTTCTCTGCTTGGATTCCCTCTATCAAACACAAAGCACGTACTCCACAGGGCCACCGCTATGATCAGGCCTGCCGCCACTGCCCCTATTAAACACCCCCATGAAAAGGAGGGACTTACAATAATACCCTAGGATTACTCTGGACTCTGACCACAACTTCTTCTATTACCCCACAATTTAAGTGCCTTGGGATTGACTCCTATGGAAATCTCACCCACTCTGCCCCCTGCACCGACTTGATGAACACCCACAAGGACCAGATGGGAGATGGACTTACTGCAGATGGAAAATGCCAGTTGTCAGACAGTTAGTATATGGCCCTCCTAAGGCCTAGTGAAAAGCCGCTGGTCAAGAATTCCTCAGTGACCCCCACTATGCAGGTGGGCCTCCCTCTTCACCCTGCAAGGGCACCCTCTGGGGCTAGCCACTTTCAAATGTGATTCAACTCCCCAGAACCTATGCTCCCTATGGGTACCTGTTCCTCTGTGGCCTGAGAATAAACCAAGTGCCCCATCAGAACAACTCTAACTCCTCCTTCCCTTCTGTGGGGTGGGCTCTAGTCCATCCTTGTTTAGATAAGCCCAATCTTGGAGACACGGCATGCTAGGGCAGCTAAGTTCTCAGAACCTAGGCATAATCATTCATAAGATCACCCAGCCCCAAGATAAAAGGGCAGCAGGACTCATTCTGGCAGCTGTAGGGACTTCTCTCAGACTAGTGGCCCCCTGGGGAAGGTTTGCACACAGTGAAATCCCTCTGCAAAATCTCACCCAGGCCTTTAAAGACTTGTCTAAAAACACAGGGTATGCCTTACAAGAACTCCATACTTCTCTGGACTAACAAGTGTTGTTCTGAATAAGACTAGCCCTTGACTGTTTCCTTGCTGAGCAAGTGGAAGCCAGCACAGTTATTAATAAAACCTGCTATATATATGTCAATAACTCAGTTGGTTGAGATAAACATAAAAAAGATATGAGTAAGCTCAATGGTTATACAGATAGAACACACAAGGTCTAGACCCAAGGTCCATCTGGAACATAGTCAAGCAGGGTCTTCCCAGGTTAACTTGGCTTTTTCCATTTCTTACCCCACTAATTGCCATTATCTTCCTGCTTATCTCTGGGCCTTGTCTTGTCAACTTCCTTAGTAAATGTGACTTTGATGACTTTGAAGGCATCAAGCTTCAGATGATACTAACACAAGTGTACAAACAACTGTGATTGCAGTTTGCTGACAATTAGACTTATTTTAGGCTAGTCAGGAACAGTTCTGCTCCCCTAATCCAGGGGAAAATGGCACTCATGTTCAGCAGGAAGCAGCTTCAGAAGTCAGACCTTTGCCCTTCAGTGGCCCTAGAGAATGAGAAGCAGTAACTAGTTAAGTTAAAGGATCCAGGGATAAGAAAGAAAGCTACAAACAAACAAACAAAAACAGATGGTACCAGTTGGGACCAAGATGACCAGGAACCTGACCTCCAACAAACCCTGAGTCTCATTATACATTAATTTTACTAAATTAGCCTAATATTCTTAACATGACACACCTACTGGTAGCCAGGACCAGCCATTAAGGGCCATAAAAAGGATAAAAGCAGAGTGACATCCTACTCCCTAGAAAAAGCCTTCCCAGGTAGACTATGCATATGCCTCCCCATCATTAGCCTCATCCTCCTCCCTTTGCCTTATCTTTAAAATTAAATACCTCTCACCAGGTGGGCAAGGAGTTGGTCTGTGAACTTAGCTCCTGCTTCTCAATTCGCTGGCCACTGAATAAAGCAAGAACCTTCCAAGGCTAGCTAGGGCTTGAGTAAGGCTCGTATGATTTAATTCAGTAATGATTTCTTCATGCATTCTTTTGAAGGAGGATTAACTACCTCCTAGAGGGTCTTGAGGAAATGGCAACCCACTCCAGTATTCTTGCCTGGAAAATCCCATGGATGGAGGAGCCTGGTAGGCTATAGTCCATGGGGTCGCAAAGATCAAACATGACTGAGCGACTTCACTTTCGCTTTCGCTTTCACTTTCACTTTCAGGGGGTCTTGAGAGTCCCTTGCACTACAAGGAGATCCAACCAGTCCATTGTAAACGAGATCAGTCCTGGGTGTTCATTGGAAGGACTGATGCTGAAGCTGAAACTCCAATACTTTGGTCACCTGATTCGAAGAGCTAACTCACTGGAAAAGACTCTGATGTTGGGAGGGATTGGGGGCAGGAGAACGGGACAGCAGAGGATGAGATGGTTGGATGGCATCACCGACTCAATGGATATGAGTTTGGGTAAACTCCAGGAGTTGGTGATGGACAGGGAGGCCTGGCATGCTGCTATTCATGGGGTTGCAAAGAGTCGGACATGACTGAGCAACTGAACTGAACTGAGGGGGTGAGAATCTGGAGAAACAAAGGAAAATTAATCTTCACCTGAGGCTAAACTAGAATGGTCAATTCACAACTTTGCTGCAATAAATAAAAGTAACTCAGCAATCCCATTACTGGGTCTATACCCTTAGAAAACCACAATTCAAAAAGGCACATGCACCCCAAAGTTCACTGCAGCCTATATACAACAGCTAGGACATGGAAGCAATCTAGATGTCCAATGGATAAAGAAGTTGTGGTACACACACACAATGGAATATTACTCAGCTATAAAAAGGAATGAACTTCAGTCAGTTGTAGTAAAGTGGATGAACCTAGAGCCTGTCACACAGAGTGAAGTGGGAAAAGAGAAAAACAAATATACTATATTAAAGCATATGTAGGAATCTAGAAAAGCCATGCTGATGAACCTAGTCACAGGGAAGGAATGGAGATGCAGATGTAGAGAAGAGACTTGTGAACACAGCGGGGGTAAGGAGAGGGTGGGATGTACTGGGGAAGTAGTATTGACATATATACACCACCAAGTGTAAAACAGAGCTAGTGGGAAGCTGCTATATAAGGCAGGGAGCCCAGCCTGGCCTCTGTGAGACCTAGAGGGGTGTGGGGGCAGGGAGGGAAGGGGGGGTTGCAGGGAGGCTCAAGAGCGAGGCGATATATATATAGTAAAGCAATTATCCTCCAATTAAAGAAAAAAGAATAAAATACTGCAAAAACAACAACAACAACAACAACAAAGAAAACCACCCACAAAATGTTAGCGGCTCTCAACATCTTCTACCCACCCCTTTTCTTCTGCCAGCCACCAGAGGCTAGTGAGTGGGAGGCTCCTCAGAATCAGTCCTAGGTAGAAGTGAACAATGTGAGGGTCTGCATGATGACTCTGGGCAGCCCCCAGCACCCAGCTGGATGGAACATCCTGGGAGGAAGTTTGGTCAGAGGCCACGTCAGCCCTTCCGCCTCCCCCACAAACCCAGTAACAGAACGCACCTACCCGCGTCTCGGGAAAAGGCCACCTCCACGCCCTGCACTGCCGCCCGCCGGCTGACCTCCTTCATGCTGACCTCTGACGCAATCACTTCTGGGCCATCCGGAAGGCACACGCCACACTCGGGCCGGAAGCCCCGGATGTCGGCGTCCCGGTAGCCTCGGTTCTTGCTGCACTGTTCGAGAAAGATGGCCTTGGCAGCGGGGTCCACGCCCACATGCACAACGAACTGTGTGAGCACATGTGGAAGCAGAAGATTAGGGAAACTGAAGTCTCCTCTGCTCTCCAGACGGTTCAGAGGGAGAGCTCTGGAGGGCAAGACACCCCAACCCCCAAAATGTGCCACCATCACACCCATGCCCTGCCTGCTCCCCTTGATGAATGTGCTGGAACAAAAAATAACTGGATAGACATCTATGTGGCATCTAATTTAAATATTTTCCTATTTCAAAATATTTGTATAGGGCAGTGCACTCCCTTTTTTCCTGGGGGGTCCCAGCTGGTATCTAAAGACTGTCCCAGGAGAAGCTTAGTCTTTCCCTGGAAGCTTCCATCTCTTTTATGAAACTTTAATAAAGGAAGTTAGTAACAGTCTAATAAAACACTGTTAGAATATGTTGAGTGATTATTTTCCCTCTTTGAAAAAATTAGCTCATTATATTATCAAAACATTGGGGTATCATCTTAATGGTCTGGTGAAGTATGTTCTATTAACATCATCTGGTCTTCATATCTGGGGGAGGTTTGTACCAGCTTCCTGCATAGTAACTCTGTTCTGTTGAAATATTCTGGGAGTGATGAAATGGCCCGCCCCAGGTGGGCCACACTCCCATCTCCCGGTGGGGGCCACCCTCCAAATGCTCTCCTAGGCCAAGAGGTCCTTGCCTCTCACCACACTGCACAACCCACCTGCTCTGCCAGGGCCTGGCTGGGACTAACCCAAGGGCCTCCCTGTTAGTGGAAACTGCCTTTGAGTCCAGGCTGGGAATAAAGCTTCCATTTCTTCTCCTCCTTCTCTCTTTCCAGAGTCTTATTCTAAGATTCTACTCTGTATTTAATCTTAAACTTTTATAAACAGACCGTTTTGAAATTGTCTGGGCCCTTACTGGTGGGCAGAGGGCAGGGTACACTTGAGCCATCAACCCTAGAACCAGGGTCCTGGGGTTCACAGGCTCTGGGTCTCCACACATAATCAGACCACCCCCTACTCCCATCCCCTCTGCCTCCCTAGCTATCATTTACTTGCGGTCGAAGATCTTCCCAGATTCTGGTGACCCTCTGCTTCACTTCCCTGTAATCTACCGGCAGCTGAAGAATCCGCAGCTCTACCTGCATGTCACTCCCCAGGCCCAGCTTGGAGAGTTCCTGCAGAAAGAAACAGGTGGGTTACCTCACTTGACAGAGGGCCACAGGGAGTTCCTGACAAGCCAACCTCAGGGCTATCCAGTTCATTGCTGGGGCCTTTGGGGACCTGGACCTGCCCCCAAGGAGCTCCCACAGTGGCGAGGGGTCAACAGGGGGACCGGAGCTCCTGCTGCCCGCACAAGGCCCCATATAGTTGCTCTTGTCAAGGTGCATGGACCCCAAAGTCATGCCTGACCCAGTCTTCAGGGCAGGACAGAGTTCACAGAAGGGATGCAGGGTACTTCTAGGGGACAGATGAGGGTGAGCCAGATGGAGAAGCTGGAGAAGAGTATATAAGGCAGAGGGTGGTACACCGGGAGCTGAGAATAGAAATTTATCACCTCTCAGTCTTGCGGATGGAAATCCAAAACCAAGTTGTCAGCAGGGTGACCCTGCCTCTGAACCTTGCAGAAGGCACCTACCTTGCCTCTTTCAGCTTCTGGCAGCCCCCGTAGTCCTTGGCTTGTGGCAGCATAGCTGCAGTCATCACATCATCTCCCCTTTGTGCGTGTCTGTCTTTCTGTCCAGGTTTTCCGCTTTTTAACAACACCCCACCCATGACACTCTCTAATGCTGATGGCTTCACTACTGCCAAAGCAGAAAGTTCAGGAAGGCCAAACTGTACTTCTCCGTGGCTGTTATAGTTATAGGTGTGGGATGGAGTGCATTGGACACTGAAGTGAAGTGAAGTGAAAGTCACTCAGTTGTGTCCAACTCTTTGTGACCCCATGGACTATACAGTCCATGGAATCCTCCAGGCCAGAATACTGGAGTGGGTAGCTGTTCCCTTCTCCAGAGGATCTTCCCAACCCAGGGATCGAACCCAGGTCTCCCGCATTGCAGGAAGATTCTTTACCAGCTGAGCCACAAGGGAAGCCCAAGAATAGGGAGTGGGTAGCCTTTCCCTTCTCCAGGGGATCTTCCCAACCCAGGGATCGAACCCAGGTCTCCCGCATTGCAGGAAGATTCTTTACCAGCTGAGCCACAAGGGAAGCCCAAGAATAGTGGAGTGGGTAACCTTTCCCTTCTCCAGGGGATCTTCCCAACCCAGGAATCAACCTGGGGTCCCCTGCACTGCAGGCGGGTTCTTTACCAACTGAGCTAACAGGGACATGATATTTCCGTGTGCTTTAATTATCTGAAGGACGATGCCCAAAGGTCCTGCTTCTGCTTATCAGCTGTTTCTTTCCAAGCTTCCAATATGGTGCTCAAACAGCCTCGACTACAAGCTGGCATTAGAATCCCTCCCCTGCTGGATTCCAGTGGAATTCCTAGTCTGGGGCTGCACTCTACAACCAGCCACCTTGACATTTCAGGGCAGGAAATAGGGACAGGCATTTTAGGTGGAATAAATACAGATGTCACACTTTGCCTCACCTCACCTTTTGCCATCAACTAGATTAAGGCAAACGTCTAATGTTCAGAGATCTTTGGATATCAGAAGTGCAGATAAGGAACTGCAGACCAGTATAAACTTGAACTTTTTCAAGGATCACCATGGAATTATTCTCCAGGATCCTCCTGACACATTTTCTCTTCCTAACTAGAATGTCACCCTCTACCTCTTTCCCTCTCAGTTGCCCCAACACAGGGAGCTGGCACCTTGGCAGGTCTGCCATGTCGCCAGCTCCAGGGACTCTGCTAAGGAGCAGCCAGCATCCCCTGGAAAGAGGTGACCATTGTCGCCCATTCTGTGGGGCTGGAAGTCCAGGGGCTCGCTGGTTCCCCTGGAGCCCTTGGAGCAAGGGGAGCAGCAGATGGAGCCAACAGACACCCCTCACTGAGGACAGAGGGCAGATAGGAAGGTAACTACTCCTCCATGGGCTATAGGCCTCCTGGAGCCTTGGCCAGGCTGCCTGGATGGCTCTGGGAAGTCTGCAGTCATCCAGAGATCACTGGGATGTTTGGTCAGCTGTACTGGTATTGGGAGAGGGAGCTATGTACTGAAAAGATGTCCCCCACCCAAATTCATATGTTGAAACCCTAACCTCCAATGTGATGGTATTTGGAGAGGTAATGAGGTTTAGATGAGGTCATGAGGGTAGGGTCATGCATGATGGGATTTCATGCATGCATGTCTGACTCTTTGCAACCCAATGGCCTCCAGTCCACCAGGCCCCTCTGTCCATGGGATTCTCCAGACAAGAATACTGCAGTGGGTTGCCATGGTCTCCTCCAGGGGATCTTCCTGACCCAGGGGTCGAATCTGCATCTACTGTGTCTCCTGCATTGGCAGGCAGATTCTTTACCCCTGAGCCACCTTGGAAGCCCACATAATGGGATTAACGCTCTTATAAGAAGAGAGGCCAGAGCCTTTCTTTGCCATTTGAGGCAGGACACAGCCAGAAGATAATCATCTTTAAGTCAGAAAGAAAGTTCTCACTAAGAACCAAGTCTGTTGGCACCTTGATCTTAGACTTCCCAGCCTCCATGTACTTTGTGAGAAATACACGTGTGTTGTTTAAACCACTCAGCCTGCGGTATTTTGTTATAGCAGCCTAAGTTGACTAATACAGGGGAGCTTCCAGCTGGTAACGAGATAAGTCCTGGTTGAGTTTCAGATACATGCCAGTTCATCCATCCAGCTCATTATAACTCTTGAAAATGACACAGCCAACTTGGGACTGAAGTCAGAATCTGATTTGGGAATCTGAGGAACTCTTTCCAACCTGCAATAATGCAAAGAGTCTCCAGGCACTGTCTCATGTGGACGCTTTGCTCCCTCAAGCATGTGTTCTAACACACACACACACACACACACACACACACACACACACACACGCATGCACGCACGGTGCCCTGGGCCATCTACACTGTGACCCATGGCAGACAAGAGCATTTTACAAAAACTAAGCCAGGCTGGTGGACATCAGCAGCCTAAGCCTGGAATGAGGAGGGTACATGGCAGAAGGGGGCACATGCAAAGTGAGACCCCACTATAGCACCGTAGGAAAGGGCATGGACTTTGGAGTCAGAAAGATGCATGTTTGAGACCTGACTCTGCCACCCTTTTTTTGGCTACAATGGGTCTTTGTTGCTGTGCTCGGGCTTTAGTTGCAGAGACTGGGGGCTTCTCTTGTCGTGGAGCACAGGCTCGAGGCATGGAGCCTCAGCAGTTGCAGCACACGGGCTTGATAACTGCTGCTCATGGGCTCTAGAGCGCAGGCTCAGGAGTCATGGTGCATGTGCGATTTTCCCAGACCGGGGATTGAACCCATGTCCCCAGCATTGGCAGATGGATTCCTACCCACTGTGCCACCAGGGAGGTCCTGACACCTTTCATTGGGCAAACGTGGGCATGTTATTTAGCTTTGGTGTACCTCCATTTTCTCATCTGTGAAATGGGCATAAATAAAAGTTGGAGGGGCTTTCACAAATATTAAATGATTCACAAAAAGTGCCCAATACAGTATCTGTCACATAATTGGGGCTTTATATGAAGGCTCAATATGTATAATTAGTCCATATTAATTGGAGAAAGTCATGCAAGAGGGATTTATTAAAAGCAATATTTATTAGAATTTGATTACTTTCAGCCTGTCAGAAGCAGGGAGTAGAACATTCTGCTTAAGCAGACGGCAGGCCACTGGTTGCCACCACCCTTTCTGCCAAGAAGTGTTGGTGGTTTTAGCAAAGAGAGCGTCAGTTCTATGCAGAGAGAGCCAGGGGTTTGCACCTTCCAGACTGGCACACTTTCTCAGCTAGAATTGGAGAGTGTTTTGTGCTCAAGGGGCCAGGGACAAAGCCTGGTATAGCTCTCACCAAAGTGGAATCCAGGGTACTGCTCTCGCCAGAGGAATCACCAGGCTCCACAGGGAGCTGAGAGCAGCTCACGATCCTTCAAAAAGCCTGAACCCCACCAGTCACAAAGGCCCTCGGGAATAAAGGAGCCCTACCTTCTGCCTCTTCCACCCACTTCTTCCTGCCTCCACGTTGTCCAAAATCTGGTTGCCAGGACACACGGAGGTTTAACAAAGAGAACTCAGTTGCTCTCTGAATTTTTTTCAAATCCACCAAGGCTGTGACACCAGCTGGTGCTGTAAAATGGTTGCTCTTTTTCCACAATCTGAGCCTTCTCTCATCTAATGGGAGTCTGTGGCTAGTACCTTGAAGCAGGAAAGGATTTCTTCATTCAAACTCCTCGAGTGCTTGCAATGTGGTCCTCTGCTAGGGCACGGACTGTCTGGGAGGTTCACATTCTCAGAGGAGATGGAGTACAGGAATGGGAAGTGATCACAAGACTCCTGGTTCTGGTTCCAAGGGCTGTGTTGGGCCCCACTGGGCTGTGGAAGTCTGAGGACCTTCAATGATTAGGAGTTAGGAAGGAGCTTAGACCCCACGTCTTCCTCTTCCTACTGTGTGTTTGTTGTTCAGTTGCTTAGTCTTGTCCGACTCTTTACAACCCATGGACTGCAGCACATCAGGCTTCCCTGTCCTTCAGTATCTCCCAGAGCCTGCTCAAATTCATGTCCACCGAGTCGGTGATGCCATCCAACCATCTCATCCTCTGTCCGCTTCTCCTCCTGCCTTCAATCTTTCCCAGCATCAGGGTCTTTTGAGTCAGCTCTTCACATCAGGTGGCCGAAGTATTGAGCTTCAGCTTCAACATCAGTCCTTCCAATGAATACTCAGGGTTGATTTTCTTTAGGATGGATTGGTTGGATCTCCTTGCAGCCCAAGGGACTCACAAGAGTCTTCTTCGGCACTATAGTTTGAAAGCATCAATTCTTTGGTGCTCAGCCTTCTTTATAGTCCAACTCTCACATCCATACATGACCACTGGAAAAGCCATAGCTTTGACTAGATGGACCTTTGTCGACAAAGTAATGTTTCTACTTTTTAATATGCTGTCTAGGCTCATCATAGCTATTCTTTTAAGGAGCTCAGCTCAGTTCAGTTCAGTTGCTCAGTTGTGTCTGACTCTTTGCGACCCCATGGACTGCAAAATGCCAGGCTACCCT